CCATGTAATTATTATAACTTTCTATAGCGAATGGTTTGACTGTTTCGTTGGTTTGGCCTCTACGTGTGCGGAAATGTGTGGTACTTTTCGCTTTGGATTTAGAAGATAATAGAATAACTGGAAAACGTTGGGATTTCTTTTCCCTGTAACCAATAGTGAGAATAGGGCCCTGTCGAAAATATTTCGTTACGCCTACAGCAAATTTTTCAGTAAGCGGTTTCGGTATAAAGGGCCTGGCGGGATATGCATATGAAAAATGCCCCCAAACGGATTAGTTTGATTTTTGGCTAGATATTACTTCTAGATATGTATATAACTTTTCTTAATTTTGAACCCGAAATATGCATTAATTTTTAAGTTATTTAACGATAAAGAATTTTACAAAATATTTTTTAATTGAAAAACTATCTGTTCAAAAATTCTGAAAAAAATATATGTTGTACATACATCTGCCGCCCATCTAAAAAAAAATTGTTTTCTTTAATTTGTTTATTGCAAATGTTATAAAAAAGGTAATATTTATTTTAATCATTTTTTTAAGTGCTTTATCGTTTTGGTACCACAAACATATTTTGTACATATATGTATTAGACATTTCTGTGTAAGATATATTTTTTTCAAGTCGATTGTTGTAGTAGAAGGTATTCAAATATACTAAAAATGGGTGTAGCACGCGGAGCGCAAGGAGGCTGCCATAGTCGCGCGGCGCGGCGTAACTCAAACTCGATCGCTACACTAGCAATTAATGAAGATATTAAGCAGAATAATAATTGTACGAATGGTAGTAAGAAGCAGTAGCACACGTAGTAAAATTAATTGTTGCAAGCAATAATTTTATTATTTATTAGTACAAAATACTTAATCGTCAATATCACTATTTTCATTTATTATTGGATGTATTTCATTTTTAGTAAATAAATTCGTCAAAATTTCAGCTGGTTTGAGAATTTTTGATAAATATCTGCCATGAGCTAAATAATAAATTAATGCAGCTACATGCGAACAGCAACCAACTGTTCTTTTGCCACTTGCACATTCGCAAGCATATCGTGTCACTCCTGAATGTCCTATAGTATTTGGCAAATATTCTATATAACAGCGATATGTTTTTTTGTTTATATGTCGAGATTTTACAGATAATTTTAAAATATTACTTCTTTCTTTGACATATTTTGCAGTAATTGAACCATCCGCGTTCAATATTTCTGCCAAATACGAGATAGCTTGGGAGAATTGGTATGAGCCTGTGAATAAAATATGTAAATCATTTTCCGTCATTTCCGGAAAATCGAAAATATCTGAAGTAGATATATCGCTAAATATTAATTTTTTTCTGCTCCATCCGTGCTTTTCTATTTCTTCCGACAATGAGTTTTCTTGATTCTTTTTTTCTTTCATTTGGGCAATAATATCCAATCGTCCCGCATCGGAGTTTAAACGTTTGCCATAACGATTTTGTAAAAATGATGCAATTTTACAATAAATCCCAATTTTAGGTAACATTTTATTGTCTAATTTTCTGTCCAGAAGGCGATATTTTTGTTTAAGTATTCCATGGATGGCTTCAACCACCCATCGTAGTTTTGTTACAAATCGTGAATCATTTGATTCAATAGTTGACAACTGAGGTCGTTTCCCTTTTAAAGCTGGCATTAGTACACCATAACCTTGTTCAGTTAACATATTTTTAACGTCTCTGAAACCACGGTCGAGTATAAAAATATCCCCCTTTTTCATTAAATTACATAATCCATTTGATTCGGTCATTATTTCTTTCATTATTGACGCATCATTTTGAGTAGCGTAATATGGGCCTAGAATGTCTACAATATAACCATCTGTTGTACATATGGTAAATGGTTTACACAGAGGCACTTTTTTTTGTCCAGAAAATGACTTTCGTTGATACTCGTTATTAGAACTTTTTTGGTGTCGTATGTAAGTGCCATCACAAATTAATAGTAATTTGTTATCAATGTCGTACAACGATTTAGCTACATTACTAGTGTGATTATTAATTAGATATTCCCTAGTCGCAGATTTTAAACCAAACTTTAAGGGAAGAACATCTTTATCAAACGCATTCATGACTGCATTTGAATAATCTGAAACTAATTGTTTATGTTCTAACTGAAAAATAGAAGCAATTGTTTCATTTGCGTTACCACTTCGTAATTTAAATAAAAAAATAATAATAGCCTGTGTAACATTTCGAGATGCTGAATTCTTCATTGATATTAACATTGTCTTCAATTCTATAATATTCTCCCACGTTAAGCCAGTAAATATGAATAATTGTTCTTCTGGCATATTAAAATCACCAATTTTGTCAAACAATGTTGAATCACAAGTAATTGCTAAACTATTTAATAATTGTTGTAATTCTACAGGCTCAATGGAACTAAAATGTGAATAAATGGATATATGTTTCAATTCGTCATTATACAATTTATTTTTAATTAAATGTTTTCGACAACATCGATTCCCTTTAGGAACATAGATTTTTATCTTAATATATATTTGTAATCTTGCTTCAAACGGAATAACATGAATATTTTTTGTATCATTACAAATAAAACAATATTTGTGTGTTGCAACAGTTCTTTTTATGGGGACTTCAATCTTTATAACGTCATCTTTAGCTGATTCCATAAGTGAAATATTAAAATCTGGATCATCAAATGAAGATGAGACTGAGCTTTCCACAATCACATCATTTTCATTATTATTATCACAAGCACTGTCGGTTTTCTTATTTTTATATGCTTTTATTCGGCAATTGTTGCATAAAACATCATGTAACACAATTTGAGATTTTAGATATTGCGTCAAGAATTCCGCCATTTTTTGGGATGTCACGATCGTTTTGCGCGGCGATACTTTGATGACATATTTATTGCAGGAAGCACATTTCTCAGCGTTTGACATATTTCTAACAAGATATAACAAGATTATATATAACTAATAAAAATAAACGTACAGCTCAATAGCATCTACTACGTATCAAATAGCTTTCACTTTTGTTTGGGCAAACAAATGCAAGAATGGAAGGCTGTTGTCTATTGTTTAATGTACGATATCCGCAGCCAGTGTTGGCGTAATGCGCATACGATCATAGCGCAACTTGAGATTCATAACATTGCATATTATTATTCTGCTTAATATCATAATTAATTGCTATGTAGCGATCGAGTCTGAGTTACGCCGCGCCGCGCGACTATGCAGCCTCCTTGCGCTCCGCGTGCTACACCCATTTTTAGTATATTTGAATACATTCTACTACAACAATCGACTTGAAAAAAATATATGTTACACAGAAATGTCTAATACATATATGTACAAAATATGTTTGTGGTACCAAAACGATAAAGCACTTAAAAAAATGATTAAAATAAATATTACCTTTTTTATAACATTTGCAATAAACAAATTAAAGAAAACAATTTTTTTTTAGATGGGCGGCAGATGTATGTACAACATATATTTTTTTCAGAATTTTTGGACAGGTAGTTTTTCAATTAAAAATATTTTGTAAAATTCTTTATCGTTAAATAACTTAAAAATTAATGCATATTTCGGGTTCAAAATTAAGGAAAGTTATATACATATCTAGAAGTAATATCTAGCTAAAAATCAAACTAATCTGTTTGGGGGCATTTTTCATATGCATATCCCGCCAGGCCCTTTTCGGTTTCTGCGAATCGTTCCAGTAATGTATGTGCCCAAATCGTACAAAGCCTTCGCCAGAGGTATTGATGTGAAGAAGTTGTCGACAAAAATGTGGTAACCTTTTGAGAAATAATTTCCCTTTGTCAATAATTTCATGACTACTGTATGCGCCAAGCCATTCTCTTGGATTTCGAATCTGTCTGCAGCACTTCCTGCTCCTCGGTATATGTAAATAGCCAAACAATAGTTTGAAACAGAGTCGCATAACATCCACAGTTTTATTCCCCACCGGTGATGGTGTTTATTAGGAAGGTACTGCAACAGTTGTGTGTGGTTTTTGGTTCCCACTAAGCTTTCGTCAATGCTCATCTGCTCGTGGGGAGTGTAGATTTGTCTGAATACTGTGTTGGCATGGTCAATGAGGGGCTGGATTTTACCACATGGATCATATCCAGGTTGTCCGGGTCGAGGAAGATCCTTTGTATCGGCCAAGTGAAAAAACTTCAGAATCAACTGGAAGCGGTTTCTAGAAAACATTTGGTGGAACCACGGATTATACTGCGAGTTATTAGTAGACCAATACGACGAAATGGTTGGTCGTTTTTGTAGACCCATATTTATTACGCAGGCGATGAATCCTTTGAGTTCAGATATCGTAATATCCTGCCACTTTCGTGCACGGGAATTTGGGTGCAGATTTCTCCGTGACAAAAAATTATCTGCATAGGCGTTCGTTTCATTTACTATTGTCTCCAGTAGAATATTGGTAAAAAATAAATAAAAATAGGCAATGGGCGCTGCAGCACGAGGAAGTGTGTGGTTTGGACCCGGTATTTCATTAAATTTGTACTGGGCTTCTGGTGGATTATCAGTATCCTGGAACACTTCTTCCCAACCTGCTATTGTTGTACCCGAATTTTGGCTAAATTCACTTTCGGATGACAATATTCTTCGTCTTCTTGATGAAGTAAGTCCAACAGGGTGGATGAGCGAGTCATCACTATTCGATGATGCATTGCCGTTGTCAAAATGTGATGGCACCAAACTTTCTGCACTATCTTTCTGAACTTGCTCTGCCATTATTGACCGAGGTATTATTTCAAAATAATATATGAACTGACTAAAACCAAATATTGGAATAGAAGAAATCAGGAAAACGCTTCGACTTTAACTAACAGACGCCAGAGAAAGACTGAAGAAAAACCAAATGAACTGAAGCATGGTGTGGTGTGGTCTATACTATTGGCATCGGAGATAAGGACCAAGTGTAAACGAATGCCACTTGACACTCAGAGAAATAATGATCTGAACGTAAACAAGCGAGGGCCTTCAAACGAGGCACAGAAAAAGTCCCTCAGCATGTAAGCGCGCTGGGCGGTCGGTCCGCCACAACGCATCGGCCCTTGGCAGTTTTCGCATAAGGACCGCGGGCCGATAAATCGTTACACATTGTACACGATCCTGTATCTATTTCCATTTTCACGCTAATGCCTTCAATTACTACATTTAAATACATCGGGTCTGCCCGCACGCCGCTGCTTATTGTTTGAACAGCGCCCAACGTTGTTTCCGCTCCTTGTGTGTTCTCGCTTTCTCGCACCATGAAAAAATCGTCCGTTGAGTCTTCCCTCTGCTGACTCTCGGTTTCGAGTTCTCCTTCGTCGATGCGATTTACAGTTTTTTGTCCTCTACACACTGTTGAAAAGTGACCCCTCTTCTTACATACGCTACACGTGTTGAAACGATGGTAGCAATCCCGAGCCCAGTGGTTAGGCTTACCACAACAATAACACGTCCTATTGTCCGTCCCTCGTGTATCCGTGTTTACACTTAGTTTCCACGTGCTTTGTGCTGCAACTCTGTTGCTTGGTCCTTGTCCTGCCTTATATCCGCGCTGCGTCACGCTTCCCCCTCTTGATGTCCCCCTGTAGCTCTGGTTACTAGGCATTCTTTGCTTAGACTGTACCCAATTTACATCTGATTTTAAATCTTCTTCTCTCCATCTATCTATTGATAGGGCATTCTCTTCTGCTATTTCTAATGTAGTAGAAATTTTGTACTCTCGGTCGTAAGTTAATTTTTCTTCCCGAAATAATGTGGCTCTTGTCGCGTGGTCTTTCAATCCGCAAACTAATTGATCCCTTAACGCTGTTTCGATATCGGCAAAATTACAGTTTGTGGAAAGCCTCTTCAGTCTTGCCGTAAAGTCGGCTATGCTTTCTGTCTGTGCCTGGTGTGCTTGGTAGAACTTATATCTCTCCATTATTTCCGATGGTTTCGGGTTTAAGTGGTCCTTTACTTTTTTTACAATTTCTGAAAATGTTTTTGTACCCGGTGCCACGGGTGCGCATAAATCGCGTATTAGTTTGTACGTATCTGGGCTTACCTTTGTCAACAACACTGCCGCTTGCTTTTCCACTTTTACATCATTCGCGATAAAATATAGCTCTAACCTTTCCGTATACGTTTCCCAGTCATCTCTCCCTAGTTGAAATTCCAGTTTGCTGTTATTAGTTTAGGCCATTGTGTGTATTATTAGTACGTTCGCCTTTGTATCTTCACTAGCTTGCAGTTCTTCTTTCTTTTCGTTCTGCTGGGCTTTTGCTTTGTTGGCTTCGGTTATGTGTGCTCACACAACCAACTCGACTACCTTCAAAGGCCACATTCAAACGTCAACGCCAACCAGACGTACGTTTGCGTTTCCGATGACATTCTTTGCATCGATTAAATTTAAGAATCGATAAGGGGCAATATAACTTTATTACCACAACCTGAAGTAACATTGAATTAGAACAACAACTGTTTAATGGATTCCGACATATATATCTTTAATATTCTGTTAATACACATATGAGCCGTTTATTTTGAAAGTGGCCTAAGTCCATTTATCTTCAAATCGAAATATTTAAGGGTTTGCGTTTCAATGAATTTAAAAATATACGTATAGGATATTAATGAGTCATACTGCTTAAGTGTATCGAAGGGTGTTAAATTTATAATTCCTATTAAAATACTGGCAATTATTAAGTGAAGAATATGCGTTTTCTTATCAAGAATGGAGTTAGGCCACTTTCAAAATTAACAACCAGATTCATTATAAAATTTGAAGGTGCCCAAGTCCATTCAACATAATTTAAGATGCTTCAAATTGAAAAAAACAATACTGAATTTATTTTACATATCTTTAAAACCCCAATTTCTTGGCGAACCTTTTCCGTTTGTTGGACGTCCTCGTTCCACAATTTTGCGCTCGATAGCTTCGTAAAGCAATACATTTTGTTTGTTAAAATCTCCCAAACCCCAAAACTTCTCAAAAATATTCTTTCTTTCTTCTTCATCGTAATTTTTTGTGCAAGCATTCCGACAACGGCAATCTTTGTTTTCGAAAATTTTTTCAAATACAATACAATTTCCGGTTTGAGTACAATATCTTTTTCCTGAATTCCGTTTAATCATTCTCACTTTTTGGATGTATGATTCATCAATCTTTTCTCCATTATTATTCGTATCTTCATCCCCTGAAGACGAATATTGTTCTATAATTCTGTTTCTTTTTCGATTTTTTTTTTAAATCATTAGTTACTATTTCTTCTTCACTATCTGAACTAAATAGTCTTGTTCTGTTCTTCTCCATGGGTGAAATAATTTCTAAAATTTAATATTAAATTTTAAGTTTTATATTAATTAAACGTACTGGTTATTCAACTAACGCAACTGTCCAAAAACTGAGGTTAACTTGTAAATACTAATTAATTAAAATTACCTTCATCCCTGCTTTCTGACATTATCAATAGCAAATATCTTGATTTAAGTATAAATGGAGTTAGGCCACTTTCAAACTACACGGTTCAATTACTGAACTAACTCTGAAAACTTATATGTCAAGAATTATCGTATTTGCCCGGAATATAAGCAACCTGAAATGCTTTAATGATAAATAACATGAAGTTGTACATGTAACCATGGTAACCGGAAAAAATTGAAAAATGGGGTTAGGCCACTTTCAAAATAAACGGCTCATATAACTCTCAAAACCCGTGTACACACTACTCCTTCCATCGAGAGACCAAGGAATTCCCCTCCCGCTCCGCTCGCGCACCAGTGCTGCCAACATTCATTCTATTTCACACCACACTCACTTACCAGGCATACAACTTAATAAAAAATAACCCCACAGAAAACACTCCTTGATATCTCCTTATATTAATATCCTTAATGTCTCCTGTTCTGTTCAATTAAAAATTATGTAAACAAATATATTTTAATTATATTTATTTTAGAAACATGTGCGGCCTTTTTCCGTATAAAAAATTAGAAAATATGAATTACTAATTCTTTAACAATTTTTCCAAAAAATTTGAAAAAAATATGCATTAATAGCCATAATGTTATGCTATAGCTGTAAAAATATGAACATGGTCACGTAAGTAATTAAGGGGCCATTCTACCTTGTAGGCATGAAAAATACGTGTTTCTTTGTGATTTTTTTTGCGGGTTATTAAAGAGCGATTAATTCCGGATTTTGTAGATACAATTATTATATATTTAGCTATATTTACGAATTTTTGCAACGCATAATATCTATTGATTACGCTGTTTTTGTTGATCATCAAACAACAGTTTTTACGAACTGCACCCGACTGCGTACGTGATATCTTGCGAACAAGTTATTCGAAATCCTAAAACCAACTGTTGCAGCGTAACAGTAAATTCATAAAGCCAGCGGATATAGAGTCACACCTTTTATAAACAATCAAGGCTTTTGCTTATAACCAAGTGCCCCTAAGGCGGCTATTTAAATAATAAAATCACTTAAAATCTGCATGGCCCTCCAAATCCAGTCGCTCTATGACTTTACTACCTGCAATAACATCGACAACCGGTGCCAGATGTTTTATGACCAGCCTCAGGTACCGCGCAAAACATCTGGGCACCAAGCGGTGGCCCGAGCCCGTAGCCTCTCGCGGAAAAACCCGGGACCGCAAAAATTATTAAAAACCACCGTTATATGCCGCCTCCCACCGACCAACTTCGCCGCCAAAATGATTGGTCGGCGTATTTACAATAAAAACCAATCAGCAACTAATACCTCCTCCCATGGTCTTGGGTACGCCCATGGCGAGGTTAGCTCTTTGGGCGACCTTGGCCCAAAGAGCAGATTGAGTCCAAAATTCAAACAAGCAACACCGAGAATAACACCGCACACTGCCAAGCAGACCGAAGACTTCATCTGGCGGATATCATATATTGGAGCCTCCAAGCATATCCCCCTAAACAGTCGCACAATATTAAGTTGGCGTGCGACATTGTGCTACTGCGCAAAACACCAACGATATTCTTAATATAGATGAGTGTGGTTATAGCATGAACTAGGATCTTTTCAAAAAAACAAAAAATGGCAAAATGGCAGCTATTTTACGAAAAAATACTGAATATTTTCATATATTTGGTTGCTTTTTTGTTAATAAAAGAAAAAGTATTGCATATATCGCAATTATCCTAGTTCATGCTATAGGGAGACCAGTTCTGAAGATACTGTATAAATTTGATGTTGATATCTTGAATAGTTTTTTAGTTACCACGCACGCAGTGCCGAAAAATGTAGTTTCGAGAAAAACAGCTTTAAAGTTTCACGTCCAGTTGTTATACCTGCGCGCGGTACATTTCAGCAGGTTATAACTTCGTTAGTTTTTCAAATTTCAATTTAATATTTGGTAGATATATTTTCGAGACAACATACTAAAGGAAAATGCAAAAAAAAATATCGATTTTTTTAATCCCACAAGGTAGAAAGGCCCCTTAAGGCAATATAAAGCTTTTTCACCATTTTTTAATCGTTCTTCATTTTTTTGACTGCGTTCTACCCCTGTGAAAAATCTGAACAAATTAGAGATCACTAATTCTTTTAAGAGGTTTATACGGTATAAAAACAAACGTGGTCATTTGATAACTTCGACAAAAAATCGCCAGTTAAAATATTTTCGAATTTTTTAAAAATCGAATTTGCATTCAAAAATGATGAAAAAATTCACAATTCTGTACATCAATTGATAAAATAACCACGATTTTTTTTATAATTTTTAATTGAGCAGAACAGGAGATATTAAGGATAAACCAAAAAATGATTTTCACCTCGTAATTACCCCTATAGTAGAGATACCGGGTTGAAACTCTGTGAAAAGGGGTTTTTTCGAACCACCTATCGAGTGGTATTAACCCAGTTCAATTTGGTTTGGGGGCACTTTTACCATGCTTATTCGGCTAGACCCTTTGTATTTGGAAAAAAATAAAAAAATTTCTCTTAATCTACATGAGTATAGCCGGAGAAGTACGTAGGGGATTTTTAAAATATTAATTTTTGTGTGATTGGTGAGCATTTGAAGTAAAAAGTCCAATTCTGTACACAATATGGTGCATTCATTTGTCAATAAATAATGTTAAAATCAACTTATCGGAAATCCCGTACGTACTTCTCTTCGGAATGTTAGTTCCAAGATATGGCCAAAATTTGGAGTGAATAGAATGAAAATTGTCGAAGTAACACTGCGTGCCGTTTTAAGAAATCGTGTTTCGAGAAAAACGCCTTTAAAGTTTTGACATGTGTTATGGACGAGAAAGAATGAAAAATTTGATTGTTTAAAAATTTTTACCATTAATCTGCTATTCCAAGACCATAAAACTGACCTTCTCTGCTTAAATATTCTTCCTCATTTTGTTTCCTCGTCGATTTTATGCTTCTGCGCGCCTTTTTTGCCGCATCCGTCAAAGACTGTTCCGCGTGCTTGATCCGCTTAGCAGCGGTTTCAAGCCAAAAATTGTACGCTTGAAGGCCAATAGCTATCTCCAAAACTTTCATAATCCGCAGAATGTTAGTCAGACCGTCGTTGAAAGTGCATACAGCAATAACAGTCGCTATATTCAATACTTTTTTGCCACGTGAATAGGACTTACGTGTATTTGTGTTTGCTATTGTTTGTTTTATAATTTTTTATATTTTCAATGTGTAACTTATTATTTTATGAAATATGTATACAGGGTGTTCGGCCACCTCTAGCAAAAATTTTAATGAGCGATAGTAGAGGCCAAAATAAGACAAAAATCAAGAATACTAATTTGTTGGTGGAAGCTTTGTTAAAAAGTTATTAACGTTTAAAGTGCCGCTCTTACTGAATTTTTTTCTCGAAAATGCGCAAGATTTCGGGGGTATGTCTATTCACCAAAAATGACTGTAATTGAACCCTACAACCGAAAATAATTTTTCCACAACGATTTGCAATTTTTTAATTTTCTCGAATAATTTCACACCTTCTCTATTTTTTTTCTCGAAAGTGGGCAGGATTTCGTGGGTATGTCTAATTTCACAAAAATGATTGTAATCGACCCTCGCAACTGAAAATAATTTTTCAGAACGATTCGAAATTTTTTTTCTCCGTCGAAAAATTTCACATCATTTCTCAGAATTTTTTTCTCGAAAGTGCGACAGGATTTCGAGGGTATGTCTAATGAAAAAAATGATTGTAATTGACCCTGCAACTGAAAATAATTTTTTCAGAACGATTTGAAATTTTTTTTTCGCGAAAAATTTCAGCATCTCTCGAATTTTTTTCTCGAAAGTGCGATAGGATTTCGAGGGTATGTCTATCACCAAAAAATGATTGTAATTGACCCCTCGCAACTGAAAATAATTTTTCCAGAACGATTTGAAATTTTTAATTTCTCGAAAAATTTCAGCATCTTCTCGAATTTTTTTCTAGAAAATGCGCAGGATTTCGAGGGTATGTCTATTCACAAAAATTATTGTAATCGACCCTC